CCCTAGCACCCAAAGGAAGCCCCGAGGCTCTCGGAGTCCTGAAAAAATAGCCTTTTGGCTCGGGAACGCTGCTCCAGCGAATCCCGGTTTTGCGAAAAACCTCCTGTAAGTGAGCTACGCCTACCCTATAGTTAGTATATCTTATGTTTTCATATAGTAATGTTATTAGGACCTTATAATAAGTATTTAGGATATTATTATGAGTTATATAATTATCATTATAATATCTTTTAACCACTCGTGGTACAGGGAATCTGGTTTAAAGGGTCGCATAGGGTTATTGGATTTTAGAAGTGTTATATGCCAAAATGGTCCTGCCCTCCGGTGTTTTATGTCTGGCCTCTATCTATATATAGTGGTCGAGAAATATTGTTCCGTGCTTCTATAATAGTAATAATAGCAAGACTGTTAATTAGTCTTGGTAAATATTAGACTAAACTTTAGTGGTAATGATACTAGGTTTTGTCAAAGGAAAATTGTGTAGAGAGTAACGAAGTGTTGTCCGAGGGCCGAGTCACCACCTTTTCAAGTGAGTGCATAGTTACTTTCATCTTACACATAGATATGAAGTATTTAATATAAATTACATGCTATGTGTGCATATTGTCTGTATACTTGCCGCCGGTGCTGGGTGAAAGAATTTTATACATTTTTAAATGATTTAAACTGTATATGTATTTTATATTTACAAAATGTGTTGGGGAAAACATGGGTAGATGAAATAGTTGTTGTGTGACAAAAACAAAATGATGAGAGGTGATATAGACCATGAGATAAGGGTGAGAGGTGAACCATGAGAGAATCCTTTTACCCAAGTGTTGGCCCCATCATCTAGCAGAGTATGGATGACAACCACAGACTATTCTAGACAATCCAGTGGACCACTAGTAGGCTCGCAACATGTAGGTGTTATTTGAACTGTGTATTCACCAGTTATACTCTAAAAACCCATTGACATGTATTGCGAGTGGATTCTCGGAAACGATATTGTCGATAAATGAGATAAAAACCCATTGACATGTATTGCGAGTGGATTCTCGGAAATAATATTGTTGATAAACGAGATAACCCTGGCAGTTATGGATTTAGTGCCTGATGAGAAAACCATGGAAACTATGGATTTAATGCATGTTTAGTAAACTATGGCAATGATGGATTTCATGCCTATTCCATAGGATGATCCTTAGGAAGAAATGAACGAGAAATAGCTGATTCTTAGGGTAGATACTTAAGAGTAAAGAAGATAATAAGGATGGGTAATTGGGTTGATTGTTGGATGTTAAAACATAATAATTATATTATTATGGGTTGAAAATCCTATGTACTCACCAGATTTCCCAACCTGACCCACTCAAGCTTATTTGTATCACAGGTGTTGATATGAAGCTACTTTACACTGACAGATTTAAAGAGATGTAGATCACTAGTGTAAATGAATGTAAGTTCTGTTTATGCTTCTGGTTCTGTATTGACGATGACATCCCAAATGTTTTAAAATGAATAAAAATACTTTTCTTTGGAAATGCCTTGATAATGTATTTATCATGTTTTACTGTGAACAAATTCCGCAATATTTTTATTAAAAGAGGTACTCTGATTTTTATAAAGCATAAACAAAAGAGGTCTTTTCTGGCCGTGAAAATAGGGATGTCACAAACCATAAACAAAATTGTAAGCACAGAGCTTAGTGAGTTCCCCCAAAATACCACCACACAAACAGAAAACATGTACAATACGCATGCTTAAATACTCATGTCTGGTCCAATCAGCCTCGGGTTGGAATACCAGACATGTCTACGATGGGCCCAGTCATCCACGGGATGGAATACCCTCGTATCATAAGCGGTTTGGTCCAATCAACCATTGAGTTGGAATACCAAACATGTCAGGTCCATTCAACCATCGGGTTAAAATACCCCAAGCCTGTTGACTGACGCACAAAGCAGTCCAGTCTCACCACAATTCATACTATCATATCAGGTCCAATCAACCATCGGGTTGGAATACCCAAGGCCCAATCAACCCTCAGGTTGGAATGACAATACAGAACGGGTCCAGTCATACTCGGGATGGAATACCTCAAGCCCTCAATACGAGTCTGGCATATCACTTGGTCCTCAGTTGGTATCTAAAATCACCGGGGTTTGTTGGCTATAACACGAAGTAGTACCACCTCAATCCAACACAAAATGCTAACATATAACAGATAAACATATAAACATTCTACATGCAAATAGGTAGATCTACAAATCACTAAACATAGCATCATCCTCCAAACCAAGATACCGATCTCACATATCACTACTGAATAATAGCATGCATAATATGATATCGAATCTAAAGGGTTGACCTTGGTGCCTTTGAACCGTATGTATAGTGAGGAAAACTCACCTTGTATTGTTAAATCATAAAGACAATCCCTAGTTGCTTGCTTCCAGATCTCTAAACCACCAATATCAAAACAACACTCCATCAATAGCTTATCTTACGAATAATCTCAGATTGGAGATCCGCTAAAATCTACACGCTATCAAATACCACAATGACAACCCGTCAATATCTAGCCCCTGACTTACGCTATGAGTCCAAATTAGGGTAAAAGACCTTTTTACCTTTCTCAAGCTTGGCCCAAAGCCAAGGCCCAAACTAGATGACCAAAGGCCCAAAATCCAAAATAAACATCTAAGGCTCAAATATGGCAAAATTTTCCGAATTAGGCCTAATTCCTTTCATGGGCCTTTACCCAAGAAAAGTCCAACAAGACATAACATCCCAACTATAAAAATCCAGATGGCCCAATATGGCCTAACACAACCAAGCATAAACCGAAGCCTAAAATGAAAAAGGACCAAGTCTACTGAGTACGTGAGGCGTAATCATCCTGTACGTTTAGCGTACAACATGGTAGGCTGGTACGTGCAGCGTACATACTTGTACGCCCAACATACTCACCAACTATGACCATCTTTCCAAAATAGGGATGAGCATCGGAACCGACCCGAATAGGACCAGCCCAGAACCGAACTTAGTGGAAAATAGGAACCGAACTGGACCGTCGGGTCGACCGAATTCGGTTCTACCGGTTCATGTTCCTACCGCTTCTTGTCGTGTCTTCAATGTTGGAACTGATCATCGATAAGTAGTAACATACGGTTCCATTTTTTGCCAGTTCTACTGGTTTTTTTGTTTCTAGCGATTCTCGGTTCCAAAAAACCACAAGAATATCGTCTCGGTCCCGGCCCGATCGGTTCTATCCGGTTCTGGTACTGGTTTCAGCCGGTTCCTCGGTCCAAATGCTCATCCTTATTCCAAATTTATCACTTAATCCATTAAGATTTGGATCCAAGCTTAGATCTTACTTCTCCAAGGTGGTTAATCACATAATGTTGCCAAGTTTATGTGTATGCATGGCTAAATGGGACTCTAGAGCTCAAAAGATCTTAATACTTGACTTAATACATGCATGGAACCAAAACCACCATAAAGCTTGCACCTTTATGCCCAAGGAGCTCATGATATATCCAGATCTATAATTTCAAGCTTCAAAAATGACTTTAACTCCCACTAATCAACCAAAAGAGGTCAAAATGACCAAAAATGCACCAAGAAGAATATCCATGAAATGGCAAGGTTTGAACTTTTTACTTCCCAATCTACCAAAAAGAGATGCAAATACTGGATCTCGAAGCTTTCCTTCAAAGAACAAGTCTTCAAGTTTCTCATTCTTCTTCTAGATCCACAAAACCCTCTGCAAATCTTACAAGAGCTTCGATATCACCAAACATGGGCTAGGGGTAAAATTAGTGTTTTTAGAGCATAGAGGTTGTCTTAAAAATGATCAAAAGGGGCTATCATAAAGCTTATATAGGGCATAACACAAAATTTAAGGTTGTCCAACTGAACCTCGTACGCCCAGCATACAAGGCCTCGTACCCCCGCACCACTCTTCGCAGTACGCCCTACGTACAGCAGTTTAGGCAAGCATAATGACCTTTGTAGCAGTACGCCCCGCGTACTAGGGTTTCCTCTAAAACCCTAAATACTCTGAAGACCATAACTTCTTCGATTTAAGTCTGTTTCCGATGAAATTTATATCCACGAAAAGGTGACGAGAAGCCCTACACTTCTAGCAACCTATCATAGACTTGAAGTTCCCCGAACCAATACCTAAAATTCATGAATGACCGAGTTAACAAATTACGATTATTCCTTTGGGCTCCGAAACGCCATCGAACACTTAGGTCACTTAAACTTTAAGATCCTCATCCAAAAAGGGCTAAATCCTTTCTTCCCCAAGCTCCTAAGCCTTATGATAACTGATGATCGGGCTACAGCCCCGAATAATGGAGCGATTTGAAACCAGGTGTTATAAAATTATGTGTATTGAACTATGAACTAACTATATTAAGTTGTTATCTTTTATGTATTAAATTATGAATTGATTGTATTACGTTGTAAATTAGTTGTATTAAGCGGTGATTTTTTTTATGAATTTTATGTTTGCTTTTGAAACATGAAATAAAAGAAGCATTATATACAAATATAATTTTCTCTAATTTAGAAAAAAAAATGTGAAATTTAAACTGAGAATATAGTGTAATTAAACTTTGAAAGAAGCACTTTGCTATAGATCTGAAGATATACATGTAAGTTTTAAGTTGAAAATATGGTTATAAATGTATAAATTTTGTATATTAAACTGTGAACTTATTATATTAAGCTGTGAATTTTATGTGTACTAAACTGTGAATTAATTGTATAAGTTGTGAATTGACTTTATTTAGTTGTGAATTTTTTTTATGAATTTTGTATTAAAATATAAGTTATTTATATATGAATGTTTGTATTAATTTCTTGTGAATACATTAATTTTTTGCATTAAACTTTGAATTAGTGAACTAATTGGTTTACTAAACTATGAACATAGTATTTAAGTTGTGAATCCATTCCCAGTGGAAGAAACAACCACCGAAGATACCAATTTCTGGCCTCCTCTCCGGTCACACTCTACCACTTCCCACTGCCCACACACCACCTGCTGCCACCACCGTTTTGGTCGACCAAGCCCCACCGCCATAAACCACCAAACTTTCCTCCTTCGATTCCTTTTCTATCAAGCAAGTTGACAAACACCCTTGAAAACCTGTTACTGCTTTCCCTTTTCCTTCAATACTGTGAACCACTAGAAGCAAGAAAAGCCAACAGTAGGGATGCCACCCACTGCCACAAAACCGCCACCATTCCACCATTGTTCTTCTTTCAATAAACCACCCATACAACCTCCAACCACCTGTTGTTGCTTCTCCCTATCCCTTCTTGTGGAACTCGATGGAACAGAAAAAGAAATGGAGCAGCAGAAGGCTACAGGAGCAGCCCCCAGCTACATACTGCCACCATCGTTCTGCTATTGCTGGTAAGCCATCACCACCTATGCCATCTTGAATCACATTGTCGATACTTGTCAATTTCAACTGAGACCAAGAGACCCAACAAAGGGTCTCAATTTCGTTCTTGTGCATCCTGAAATCGCGATCAGTTAACCAAAGAGACCCAACGATGGGTCTTGATTTTTGTTGAATCTCAAACCTGCAAATCACGATTGGTAACGAATCTGGTTGAAATTGGGGGTGGGTTCTTGTGTTCACTGTATAGTTTAGGGATGAACGAACTTGTTTTGCCACATATTCCCGTTTGATTTTGGGTTTTTGAGATCATCTGATGAAGATGAAAGGAAGCAGGCAGTGGAGAGAGAGAGAGAGAGAGAGAGAGAGAAAGAGAAAGAGAAAGAGAGAGAGAGAGAGAGAGAGAGAGAGAGAGAAAAGAGAGAGAGAGAGAGACCATTTGTATATTAAACAATTATTTTTTACTTTTTTTAAGTAAGGCAAAACTTCATAAATGGTCCCCTCGCTAGTGAAATGACAGAAATGCCCTTCACTTAACAGCCAAAAGCTAACGGAGTGAGCCGAAATGGCCAAATGTTAAAAGTTTTGAAACCACAGGGACCATCTGTGAGGTTTTTTGAACTTAGGGACTAAACTTGATATTTTTGAAAACCACAGGGACCATTTTTGAAGTTTTGTCTAAAATAAATATCATATTGTTTTCATTAGTCGTGTAAAAGAAACCGGTTCAGGAACCGAACCGGTCGCTGAACCGAAAAATGGTTTAGCCCTGAACCGATTCACGAAAGAACCAAGTCGATGCTGAACCGAACCACCGGATTGGACCAATTCGCACTTTCAACCCTTGAGACCGGTTTGGAACCGGTTTTTGCTGAACCGGTTTGCGAATAGAGCCGTTGGTGAACCGATTTTCGAGTATTACCGTTTTTTTGTCTTTTCCTAACGGCTATATAGTCGTTTGAGGTTGTTGAAGACCCGATTTTAGCTCTTTTTTGACCATGTTAACCATTCCTATATATATATATATATATATATATATATATATATAATATATATATATATATATATATATATATATATATATATATATATATATATATTAGATGTTTAGGTCTCAACTTTACCTTAACCAAACCTCAAAAAACCTCTCTTAGTTCAAAAAACGATCTTAATTCAAAGAATGGATTCGGCTTCCGTTGGTGTTGGAGATTCATCAAACAATGTTACCGTTGTTAGCATCAAAGAAACAAATATAAATCCGACTATTTGGTGCAACTATGATTTGTGTGTAATGTCGAACGGTACAAAACAAGCGCGATGCAAGAAATGTGGTGTTTTTTTAATGAAGATGGGAATTCGGTATTGAAAACTCATATGACCAAAAGATGCCCCGCGGTGAAATTTGGGCCGGGACATAATCAAACAACAATTGCGAATGATGCAACATTGTAGAGTTACGATTTGGCTAAAGTTCGGGATAGGATGGCGAAGTTCGTGATTCAAGAATGCGTGCTTTTTGACCACTTCGACAACAAACGATTGACTTCGTTCATTCAAGATACTCTTCAACCACGATATTGTCATGTGAGTCGTACTTCTATTAAACGTGATTGTATTGAAATGTGGAAACTTGCAAAAAATGAATTGATTTTAGGATTTCAAACTTTAGAAACCGGTGTGAATTTAACTTATGATGTTTGGACGGCTCCTCATGGTTCACCGGATGCATACCTTTGTGTTACCGCTCATTGGATTAATCCAACTAATTGGGTAATAATGAAGCGTACGGTTACGTTTGAATTGTTTAAGTACCCGCATACCGGTAGAAATTTATTTAAAATTTTAGATTGTGTGATCGAAACTTATAAACTTGAAGGAAAAAAAATTTCTATATCTTTTGATAATGCTTCAAACAACACCGTCACGGTTGGACAACTAAAACTAAAATATAAACCAATTTGCGATCGTGTTTTTTTTTTCATAGTCGATGTGTTGCACATATCATTAATTTGGTTGTGCAAGATGGACTAACTAACATTGAAACCATAAAAGATGGTTTCAAATACATGCTAAAAGAGATGATTACGCAACGATATGACGGATGACGAATAAATACAATGACTACACACTTGGAATGAAGACGACGACGACAACAATGTTTTATATTTGAAGATGTATTAGTTTGACAATTTGAATGTTTTGTGTTTTTATGTTTGAAGTTGTATTATGTATTTCCAATATAAAAAAAAAATGAAAAAAAAAAGTTGAAAATTGCTCCATTGATTCAAGTTGAACAATTTTGTACATACATTATATTTTTGTACATATACACAAACATCAAATTTAAAAATAAAAATAAAAATAATAATAATAATAATAATAATAATAATAATAAAAATAAAAAAAATTTTGGCATATATATGGAGGTGTATGTGTGTATTACCAAAAGGCTTATGCCTTCCTAATTCCAAAAAAAAATCCCTTTTTTTTTTGTTAAACACAATAAAAAAAGCAAATAGAATCTCAAAAAAAAAAAAAAAAAAAACATTCCTATTATTCGGTTTTAGCCCAAAAAAAAAAAAAAAAAAAAAAAAAAAAAAAAAAAAAAAAAAAAAAAACATTTTTTCCGTCGAACCGGTTTTTAAACCGGTTTCTATAGAACCAAACCGGTTTACATATGTTAGGATTATTTTGAAGCTGGACCGGTTTGGAACCAACTGGTTTCGAGGTGAACTGGTTTTGACTAAGTTGATCAGAACCGAACCGGTCCGGTTCAGAAAAAACCGGTTTGTGCATGCCTAATTTTCATAATTAAAAAACTATATTATGCCCAATTTTTGTTGGCAAAATTAGACTAGTTTGACATCTTAGATTGAAAAAAAAAACTAAATAAATAAAAAAACCAAAAAACATATAAAGTTGTATACAATGGTAAGCCCACATGAAAATCAAGGGAATCGACCCTCAAAGTTTGAAATTATTTGAGTAATGCATATAACTGACTCTGTTTATGAATCAAGTCTTGTGAGAAACTCTGTTATCGCTCGGATTACAAGGAGTGGGCTCTCTATATGAACAGCATGCCCACAATTAGGAGCCTCAACCACTCTACTCTTGCCAAGTGTCACGCACATCCTCTCACCAATCTTCTTAAATTTCTCATCTCTCTCACCAACAATAACCACAACAGGAGATTTCACATGCTTTAGATCTTCCCACAATGACCTATCATCAAAATTCATAATTTAATCATATTCCAAAACAATAAGTGGATTATTTATTTATTTATTTATTTATTTATATAATGATCAAACATACGGTTGTCTTCCGGTGCTTAGGCCAGAGAGTGTTTTTGCAAGACCTGACACGTCATCATGTTTTGACCGGTCAGCAACTATTTGCTCAAATTGTGGATGGCTTCTTAAGCTGCATCATATGCATAAATTTATAAACTCAAAGTAACTACAAAAAAAAAAAAAAACTTAATTTTTTTTTTAAATATTAAATTACCTTTCCCACATCTCTCCAGAATACCATGTCTGAATAAATAATTCAACACCATATGAAATAAGTGCACATGCTAAAGAATCATCTTTAACACTTCTAGCCTTTCTTTTTGCCACGTCATCCAATCCAGGGCTTCCAGATATCATCACTACACCTTTTACCATATTGTTGAATTTTAAAGCCATGTATAAAGTGATCCTTGCTCCCATGGAGTATCCGACAAGTGTCACTTTTTTATTGGTTAGAACACAGAACAGTTTCTCCAGCATATCTGCAACTAGCTTCATTGAAAGCTCAACTCCTTGTGCCACGTCATCAATGGCATCCATCTTTGACCCACCATGACCAGGGAGGTCGATTGCGATACATCTAGAAGATGCTGACATGGCGTTCATGATGGGAATCCAATCTTCACTACTCCCGAGGAATCCATGAAGAAATACAATAACATTATCCTACATTAAAAAAAAAAAAAACATCATATACTTCTGCTAAAACATATTAAATTAGAAAACTCTCTTTGTTACATTTTTTTCATCTCCAAGCTCTTTCACATTGATGGAAAATGTCATCCCCTCAACATCCACCTTTTGTGTATAATTCCGTAGTTTCTCACTCTCAAAACTCCGGAATACCGAATTCCGATTGATTTTGAAGTTGGTCAAACTTTGACCGGCATCAAAAACAGAAGCTTGACTTTTCGTAAAACACAATGACTCGGAGATGATGACATCATCTTTGAGCCACTTGTATGTTCCAAGACCATGTGCTACGTCAGATACAATTTCCTTATTCATTATTTTGCAAATATCTTTATTTTTCATTTCAAGAAAACAAGAAAATTGAACATAAGCTGACAAAGATATTCCACTTTCGAATGCAGCACTGACAACAGCTAATTTTCCATGCTGGTGGGCCCACCTTGCAATGAATGCAGCCTTCTCAAATCCACCAACAAAGCTTGGTTTAATTACCTGAAAAGAGGTAATTAGATAAATTACTTAATAATTAATATGTAACAATTAATCATTAATCATTTACTTACAACAGCAACAATTTTGTCATGTGTGAATCTTGAAAGAGCTTGAAGAGGATTTTCTTGAAGATTGTCAATGGTTTCATCTAGGGCTACAGGTATTCCACTTTCTTCACAAAATTTAATTATATCATCTTCATCATTTACAGGCTCCTGAAATTTGGAAAGTAGATTTTTATATTTTTATCATAAACATAATCATCAACCAAGGATAAAATAATAAAATAATAAATACCTCAATATATTGAAGTTCACATTCCTTCACATTACAACCAAATTGAAGAGCATCATTAAAGGACCATTTTTGATTTGCATCAACACGAAGTTGAATATGGAAACCGATTTTCTTCCTTATTTCTTGTATGACTTCAGCATCTTCAATAGGATGGGCCCTACGTGCCACCTGTCAGTTTATTATAGAAAATGGAAAATGGAAAATTGGAAATTACTTACGTTCATATGATAGTAGAAACAAAACAAGAACAAATTTTTGCTTACTTTTAGTTTGATTGTAGTGAAACCTTCTTCAACAAGTTTGGATGCAAGATAAGCAACTTCAGAAGGAGTTCCATTAGAGTCAAGAAGGGCACAAATTGTAATATTTGATGACTTTTGAGGACTTTCTTGTTTGGGTGCTGATGGGTGAAGGATATTTAACATACTGGAAGAACAACCTTGTACTGAAGCTATAGCATTAAGAATCGCCATTTCCAAACCACATCTAACACTTGGAAGAATAGAATCTGGCTAAAAAAATAATAATAAAATAAATTCAAGACTTTTAACAAACTTTGTAAAAAGAAATTACTGGATGAGTAGTACATACTGGGATTCCTAAATTGGTCCATATCCATGAAGAGAAGGATCCATTTAGAAGAGGAAGAGATGAATGTAAGGTGACTCCTTTTATAACATGAGTAAGAAACTGAAGTTGCTCTTGTGCATCTTGAAGAGTTCCCTTGTGGGTCCCAAGTGGTGCCACCTGTCATTGTGAACAATAATTAAACCTTATAGGTAAATAAATAAATAAATAAACTTGAGATAGAAAAGATAAAATTTACCTCTCCAATTCCAGTACTTCCATCTTCAAGATACAAAGTTAACACAAATCCTTCTCTATAATTGTCATTAACAACAGGAGTTGTCAATGGAGCACAGAGTTGAATTCTGTCATAACATGATAATTTATACATTATAACTTTATAATAAATCTTTATAGATGATAGATCCATTTTTTTAGTAAAAAGCTGACCTGTATTGGAAAAACTCCAGTTTATGAACTTTAATTGAATTGAGAACTGATAGCTTTGAAATAATGGATAAAGAATTCCCTGCTGCTTGACATGAAAATTTTCTTAAATTACTGTGAAAGTTTTTATTGGCATCAATGGAGCTCTCAACTTCAATAACACAATCACTTTCTTCATGTTGAGAATTTAACAGAGCCTTTTGGAGCTCGGATTTTGTGCTGACATGTACATGCTTCACACTATCATGTGAATAATAAATAATCTCACATTAGCAATCAGAAGTGATGATGAAATATGAATTGATGAATGATGATCATTATTACCCATGTGCATTGCATAAGTTGTGAATTCCAACATCATGAGATGTGTAAAAATATTGACTCAGTATTTTTTCTTCAGCTTTATTTGCAATGGGTAGAAGACTAAAAATCGCACCTCCATGGTTGTTGATCACAATTATTGTCATCTGTTTTCTTGAAATCCTTCAAAAACATAAGAAATAATAAATATAAATATAAACAGAAATCGATATCTGAGAAATATATATAATTTGTACCTTTGTTTCAAAAGTGCTAATCCATTTGTATCATGTAAAAAGGAAACATCTCCAATCACACAAACAACCTGAATTTAAATTGTAGAAATATTAAAAGTATAAAAAAGAAAATAAAACAAAAAAAAAAAAATCAGATACTTTACTCACTTTTTTGTTGTGGCCTACAGCAAAACCAATAGCAGTACTGAGTAAACCATCGATACCACTAGCACCTCTGTTTCCAGCCACCTGTATCCAGGAGAATGGAAAACCTGAGGGTAATTTGGTAATTTTACCATGACTACCCTTTCCATGACTACTTCCATACATATCTGCATCACGTATTGGCATGCTATTTCCTATGAACATTGTAGATCCAAATTCAATAGCTTCTGAAGTTACATGAGCAACATATGGTTCACTCAAATTGTTCTCTGAATGTATTAAAAATGATATCTCCCATTCAACCTACAAAATTAAAAATCTATAAAAGTTAAAAAAAAGTGTAAAAATTGCATTTGGATCAGATTTCAAGACTGAAATTAATAACTGTTTAGTGTTTAAAGTTTACAGTTTACCATCATGTTTACTGAACACAGGAAACTTGTCCATTGGGTGTTGATTTTGGTTGTGCAAGATCTCATCACACAATTGGTAAAATGACGGATATGACCTTGAATCCTATGTGTAATTACATGTGAGGGATCATGTCGATTAGGATGGTTATCCACTAATATATATTGACATGGAGAAGAATCTTGTATCATTTGTGAAACGCGTTTGCTTGTTATTCTGCTTCCAATCTGTATTCAAAAACTATAAATAATAAATCCATCAAAAAGTCAAACAAATTAAGTTGACCTCACCAGTATATTTTCTATTTTTCTCTAACTATACCTGAAGAATAACATCTGGATTTATCCGATTTCTGACTTCAGGAGAAAGTAGCAAATGATCCAAATGATCAACAAAAAGAATACTCTCATTAAGTTTCAAAACAGAATTTTTATATTTTCTCAACCTTAAACCTGATAAAATATCAGCAAAAACTGGCCATTTAAGGTGTTTAGCTAATAATAAAGATGCCCATATATCATCCTCTTTAAAAATCGCACCAATTAGCAGAATCCCATGTTTTGCACCTTGTATTACACCTAACACATCTGCCACATCACCATGTGTGAAAGAATCATGAGGTTGGAAATAGTTTGTAAATGGTTGACTACTTGATACCCAAAACTCTAATCCTTTTAAACAACTTTGACACCATTCTTTTGGTGTGTTTTCTAGAGGCTCCCTGAAAGGACAATTGATATGAACAGGTCCACAAGGTGATGACATGGCATGATTTACAGCAGAGTCAAAAGTTGTGAGAACCATTCTTGCAGAAATTTCATCTGTGGGTACAGGAAGATTGAAAAATTGCCTCACAAATGATCCAAATATGTTAACCTAGAAAAAAAAATGTTTAAAAATGAATATTTCGAAACAAAACTAATAAATAATAATTATTAATTATTGATTAACATACTTGATCAATTGCTTGGTTGGCTCCAGTATCAAGAAGCTCAGGGGGGCGATCTGCTGTGAGTAATAGAAGAGGTAAAAAATCTTGAGAAGCTTCCACTACCTGTAAAAGTGTAAATTATCCACCTTTTTATAAAAAAATGAAAAAGGGTATAAATTTATAGTTTTTTTACAGACTTACAGCAGGTAAAAGATTTGAAACAGCAGTGCCTGAAGAGGTTATAACCACAGCTGGTTTTTGACATCCTCTTGCATAACCAATAGCATGAAAAGCAAGTGATCTTTCATCAAAGAATGCAGTGCAATTTGTCATAGGGTGAGAAGTTGCAGCAATGGCTAGTGGAGTGGATCGCGATCCTGGAGCTATACAAAAATACTAAATAAAAAATAAAAAAAGTTAAGAGATTTTAAACAGGAAAAAGGAAATGAAATTTATCATTTATCTTACAGTTAAACCGAGTCGATAGCATTCTTCGATTACAAGTGATGCCCACAATGTATTGATGTTTGAAGATTGTTTTAAAGAATGAGCTATATCTCTGAACTGATCCACCTGTTTTTGAAATTTTATATAATATAAACAAATGTAGCATGTAATTATGTACAAAAGGTATAATTCCAACATACCATGTTATTGCAGACAGCTACAGTTGCTGAAAGTCTGAGGGAGAACTGACATGATGATGATGATGATGATGATGTGTTTTCCTATGGTTAAAAAGGGAATTTAAGAAGGATAAATTTATACACAAGATTGAGAAGTGACTAGAAGAAATATTGAAGTTAAATAATTACCAGGATAAAAAAGATACCAGTTCCATGTGGTCAAGGCAACCTTCCCTCAGCAAAAGAGCATCTGTATATACCTAAAAGAGGAGTGCTACCATTTATATGATTAAAAAAGTTTATATAATTAGAGTAGTTAAGTTAATTTGTAGTGTAAGTGAATGTGAATGTGAATGTACCATTTGTGCATGTTTATCCTCCACCATGTTGAACTTTTTTAGAACAGCATTAATGGATTTGTTCAGACATTCATTTGCAATGGGCCTTGTAAGAGCTGGCCTAAAAGAAAATTTTGTAAAATATGACAACTGTGCACATGAAATACATAACAGAAACATACAGTATGAGTGTAGTTATTCAAACTATAGGTCTGTATTCTGTATAAAATATTAAACACTGGAGAGTAGAGAAGATAGCCATAAAATACCTGTTGTGAGATAAATAATGACATCAAAAGCCTTGTCATATGGATAAAGGGAAGAGTCATTCCATGCTAGTGTGGCAGATAATATGGATAACCCATCAGACTGGACTAATTCTATCTGTAAAATTTTGAAATTCAATTAAAATCATGAATTATTAAAATTTAATTTGAACATATGGTTATGTGGATTACTTGGGGAATGAACATGTAGGGTGATATATTCTCATACTTTAAAGAATTGTGGCCAAATAAACCATAAGCCTTCAGATTTGCCGAATCAAGGGACTGATATCTTCTGTAAGAAATGTTCTCTATTGAGGCAGAGGAAAAAGGAGCCTTGATGAAAACTGCAGCACCAATTCCAAAGACTCCATGACTTCTAGTAAATGAGAGAAACTTATTGGTTGACTTCTCAACCTCTGTAGAAACAAAAAACTGAGGAAATACTCCTAGTGATGGATCTTGACTGCAAAACAAACTCAATGCTCTTGAACCAGGGGATACAGCAATCTGCAAATGGCAAGTCAATATTTTGAACAGATAACGTAAGAAATTTGCTAGAACAAGCATAAGACAAGTGAAATTCTTAATTATATGTGTCTAATCAACATTGAATAAATCTGAAAACCTGAAATCTGTACATTCCAGCTTCAGCACGAGGTTTCGACTTCAATTCCTCAACCGAATCTCTAATCTTTTCGAGTCCCGATTCTAGCGTCAGTGCTGGAGGCAATGTACGCGTAATGCAGGTAGCCAGGAGTAGTTCGGCCTCCTCCGCCTCCATGAATTTAACGTCGTTTACTTGCATTGAACTTCGCACAATCTATACACACAAAATCATATATTTCTTACAAAATCGGAAAAATTATTAAAGGAAAACAGGAAGCAAACGTTGAATGCACATGGAAATTCGTAATTTGGACCTTGAAATTCGGAGCATTCCGGCGCTGACGAAGAAATGTGAAGCGATTGCGGGAGGGTATGGTGATGTTGGTTTTAGAAGGCAGAAAGGTGATAGTATGGCAATGTAGGAAGGAAGGGAGAGAAGCATGTATCTTGATCTGGAGATTCATAGCGTCACCTTATAGGATAAGGAAACAGGGTTTCAGGGCTTAAAGGCGTTTTCCCATAGGATAAAATTAACCAACCGACTTCAGTTTTAAAAGATATGCACACCTATTAATTACATACGATCGGATCCCTTCCACTCGAAGGACCGACTCCTATTTGGTATCAATACTAATTTCTCGGACACCGCTTGGGGGACGCAAATTCTGGGACCACTCTAACGATCTCGGTTACGAAGATACCCGATATCTGAATTACTCGTTTGATTTTTTTGATTTTTTCGGATAATCAGGTAACCCGATTTTTTTCAGGTCGGATAAAGGGTACATTTTTTGAGTTTCGAGTATACCCGAATTATTTTAAAAACTCTTTTTTTTTTTCTTTTTTGTATTTGATCAAAGTTAAACTAACTATTATTATTGTAAAACGTGAATCTTTTTATTAATGATAATATAACACTAACAATATTAAAAGTAATTGTTTATATATTATCATGTTCTTTAAAACTTAACTGTAGTCTAGATTATAGTTTTTATTGCAACTAACAAACTTATTATCTTGACGAAACTTCAGAACATTACAAAAATTATGGTTACAATTATCTTAAACTTTTAAACTAAGATCTTTAAGTATTTTATTTTTTTAACATCTTATCAGATTAGATTAAGTTGTTAAAAAATTACTTGATATCTCAGGTTTTATTGACTAAAAAATCTCAATGTTCAAAACTTGAGTAACTTCGTTTATATCTTGTTAGTTTATATAAACAAGACTAATAAAGCACGACATATTCATTTCATTAAATTTATTTTCAGGTGAAATTCAAATATATATATATATATATATATATATATATATATATATATATATATTTCAGGTAATACCCGAATTTAATTTGGGTCAGATAACGGGTATTTTTTTAACATGAAAAACCTGAATTACTCGGAACCCGAAAAAATTACCCGATCAACACCCCTAATTATGAATGTAACAATGTAACAGGTATCAAATCAAGGCTTGCTAGTGGTATCGAAGCACACAATAGAAGTTACAACTCGAAAAGCCTCGTAACGAAGAACCGAGTTACATCAAGTGGCGCTATCCGTAGGACCACCAGCAAATCAGTCACAACCTCACGTGGTCTTATCTATTCTCTCCTTAATCTCAATCGAAACCAAAAGTAAATGTCAACGCAACGTCGTAACTATTCCTTGGTCATGTCGTGGGGATGCAAAGACAAAACAATCACAAATTCGGACTTTGCCACGTCATGGTCATTCACTGGCCACGTTGTGGTAATTAGTAGTTTGCTCCAAAATTCATTAAGAAGTTAATACATACAGATCAAGCCCCAAAACTTTAGATCTACTCTTTCAGACTTAATAGATATGATTTCCAACTTTATCCATTAGGATCTCACCACAAGACAAGATCTCAAACCCTAAGTCTATAATAGCATAAAATCTTCCCAAAACATGCATGGCTTTAAGAATAACATCAAGATGCAAAATTTCCCGGTCAAATCAAGATTATGAGGTGATAAAATAAGCTCAAGAGGTGTTAGAGTTCACTCAACTCTAACAAAATTTTGGTTCGGTATATGTTGCTCAGCATCATCTCTGGAGTTCGATATACATATAACGATATGCTTCGGTCATCGGTGGTTCGGTATATATGCTTCCGTTATCTGTGGCTCGGTATACATAGAACGTTATGTTTCGGTCATCGATGGTTCGGTATATACGGTTGAGTTATCTATGGTTCGGTGTTCATAAAACGATATGATTCAGTCATCCATGGTTTGATATATATGCTCTGTGGTTCGGTCATTTGTGGTTTGAGCATCTACACTTCTGTCGTTTGGGGTTCTGGCATCTACAGTTCGGGAATCTACACTTCGGTATACATGGATCGACTTCTCTACTTTAGTCACGCATAGGTCGGCATCCCCAGTTCTAACTAAGTGCTTACCCGTAGATTTGATTTCGTTCATCACAAATTTCTCACCCTACATCTTGAATAAAATTTTTTAATTAAATTTTGTTGATAAACACGCCCTGTGAAACCTCTCACTTAAGTCATCCACATAAAAGCGCTCAATGTATTTTCATGTTGAAGCCTATATCACCAAAGTAAAGGTACTTCCTGCTAATAGAAGAAAGCCAATATAGCTTTGATGTTTTGTGCTCTCAAAAACAAATCGAAACACCGACCTCCTATATATCATTTTCTTCAAACATAAACCCATCTCGACACTTCTCCCCTTTATTTGTTGAATTTAATGTTCAAAGAGGAATAGATCCGACAAGATTTGGTTATGATACTCCAACAAAAAAAGGAGGGAACCTAGTCATGCACATAAGGTGCTAGACAGAATGCTCCAACGAAATCTAGCCTACATCAAACCTTTTGACATTTTCGAATACACAAGAAGATCAAGCTTCATATATGTAACGCCCGTGTTTCTAGGCTTGCCATTTTTAGCAATGTAATAGTCTAGGTTAACCTTCTAACTCAACTTGAAATAATAAGAATGTATTATTTGTGAATTATTTGAATTATGTGATTTATGTGTGTATTTTCTTAATTTTTATAATTTAATGAATTAAGAATAAAATAAGCGTCAAAATTAAAGTGTGAGATAAGCCCGATATCTTTGCATAAAGTTGTAGTGGTCGAAACAAGGGTTCCGGAGATATAAGGAATGCCAAAATCCGAGTTATAACGAAGAAGTTATGACCTGTCGAAGTTTCACGACAGAACCGACACGACGCCGAGTGACGTAAAATCTAAATTTAAGATAGAGCGATATTTAGCCTTAGCGATCTAAACAAAAGTCGTAGATTTCGTTAAACCGAGAGCGTGCATAAAAGGAACGCCCAAATCTGACTTCGTATGAGGAAGTTATGATTTTTCTAAGTTTCGACTTAGCAGTATGCAGCCCGAATACTCGATTTGATATCGAGCGGTTTTTAGCCAAAACAATCTAAATGAGAATCGAAGATCTTGTTGTTATTAGCGAAACGATGAAAAGTTAGGCGAGAACGGACGTCAGACGAAGAAGTTATGAGTTTATAACGAAGTTTTTCTGTCCCGGCATTCTAAAAATAAATAATAAAAATAAAAGTCAAAATTAGCCGACGAAGTCTAAATGAAAGTTGTAGAGTATGTTCTGACCTTCGCGTGGATATAAAGAACGTCGAAAACGGAGCTCGTATGTGAAAGTTACGCAATTTAGAAGTTCGATGAGTCAATTACGCCCAGCGTACTCAGTCGGATGCAACTTGTCTGACCAATACTCGAGTGCCACCAGTCGACGCACGCAGTGACGTCAAAGTACGCCCCGCGTAACTCGAGTACGCCCCGCGTACTGAGTACGCCCTGCATAATTTTAGATTACGCCCCGTGTAATCCCAGACCCTCAGCCTATAAATAGAACTCGAAATCAGCCATTTTCTCTTGTTCAAACTCTTCCTTCTCTCTAAGTTTTGCCTCGATTTGTGTGCCAATCATATCCCGAAGCCCCGGTATCATTCCCAAGCCCCGAAGCAAGATCCGAATCCCCGAGGATCCCGAAGAGCGTTATTCCCGAGGCGAAACGCTGCCCGCGAGGAGCCCGGTTTTGTGAAGATCTTCCAGATCTACGGAGAAACACCTCTTCTGCAAGCCGTAGTGCTGCCCGATCATCTTCTGATCAAGTGAGTGTGTAGTTATTTTCATTCCAACGCAATATTATGAAGTATTTCCTATAAAATACGTGTTATGTGTATATATTTGGTTGTTATACGTGTGAGTGTATATTCACTCTCTTCTATCTTATAGATTTGATGTATTCTCTATGAAATGCGTGTTATGTGTGTATGACTCATCTGTTATGTGGAATATGTATTGCTTAAAGCATGTTATACAGGTTTTTAAACAATGTATAAAAATGTATATTTTTATCTACTAATATGTTGGGTAGAACATGGGTTGGTAATTGATGTGTAATAAACAGATGAGAGGCCTCGGTGTTATTGGTGTTATTCTAGTCATTCAGCAGAGTATGGATGACGACCACGGACTATTCTAGACTGTCCTGTGGAACACTAGCAGGCTCATTACCTGTAGGTGTTGTGAACGACGTGTTCACCGGTGTACTCTATCCCCCACATGGTTGCCTTTAGGATACTTATTGTTGAGGAAGCCCCTCTGCAGTAATGTTCGTCTCGATGAAAAAATCCTGAAACAGGTTCCTTATAATAGACGTTATTTTTAGGAACGTAAGGTGAGGATAACAGGAATGGGTAATCGGGTTTATTGTGGATTGTTGTAATTAAATATAATTATTGTGGGTTTGAAAACCCTATATGCTCACCAGGCTCCCAAGCCTGACCCACTCAGTTTATTTGTATTACAGGAAGTGGCGCAAGAGCTTAAGATGGGCGAATCATCAAGTTGTTTTGTTTACAAGTCTGTATATGTATATATTTGTTGAACGACTTGTAATGTTATCGTTTATGCTTTATGATTTGTATCGGAACATGACATCCCGACTTTTGATTATGAAATGAAATCATATTTCTTTATGAAATGTTTTGATAAATATCTATTTTATCATGTTTTGTTTTTGGGAACAAATTCCGCATCTCTTTTAAAATTAAAAGAATTTACTCTGAAAATGTTTAAAAAGCATAAATGAAATCGGTCTTTTCTGGCCGAGATTTTGGGGATGTCACAGTTGGTATCAAAGCATTAGTTTAAGCGAACTAGGAATTTGTAGGATTTCTAAACTTAAACTTAGGATGCTAAGTGGAGATTGCGAGGTATGTGTCTGTTGGATTTTAGACACAAGCACTAGTTTATTTTAGGAAAGTTGCCTAAAATGCTTTTATGTGCTAAATGTTATATGTTGCCATATATGATATTATTTGTTCGGATCTACGGTTTATTGCCAACCGGATCTGAAGGTTTATGTGTTTAGGATTCTAAGCGTATATGTACGATATTAGAACTAGCATGTAATCGTTTGGAGTAATAAGGTGAAATTATTCGGTGTATAGATCAAAATGGTGAGAACAAGAAGCGGAGTTGGAAATGCTGATGAAAACAGGAATCAACCGCCTGTAATCGAGCAAGTACCTGTCGTAGCTGCTGCACCTGAGCCGATA